TCATATTTGCAGCTTTAGTCGTAGAGGAAACTGGTCATGAAAGCCGGCAAACTTAAAATTAAAGGTCAAATCAACGGTGCCGCAGTTTATCTGGCTAAAATTGGAAGCTCCTCGACAGTGCGCAATCCTTTGTTTTCTGTTCAAAAATTGATTGAGCAAATTAATGCAACGTTCTTATTTGTGAAAAAAACAACAACAACAACAGCAACAACAAACAAACAAAAACAAGCAAAATGATAGGAATGTCATTGAACGTTGTGAACCGTCATGTCCGCCAAAAAAGGCTAACAAAAAAATATAACAAAGATATCTGACAGGCTTTATAACCATTTCTCATTTCATACCTGCTGCGTTTCTTTTGCGAATACTTGTTGCACATAACGGGAAACGTCTGACAAATTTGACTATTCTACAATCTCGCTCCTACGGTTCCTTCTCTTGCCTCGAGAAAGAACTCTTGTTGCAGCTGGTCATGTGACTTCCTGTGACAAAAAAAAGCCAACTGACGTTTTTGTTTTTCGCCGCCGTCGGTCATCTCGGCAGACCTCTTAGGAAACAGAAATTTACTTTAACGAGTTCAAAAGGCCATGATTTGTGATCTGTGATTGGTGGATTTCGACCCGTTTTGTGAGTTTCTTTGTTTCAAGGTTCGTTGCTTGTGATCGTAATTATTATCGACGGGAGCGAAAAACGCAATTGTGAAGGCGGCTTTTGAACTTTAGAGTTCGCGTGTTTGTGAAAAGCGCAGTAATGTACTCTTTTTGCTTTACTCAAACAAAAGTTTGTTCTTGGAGCAAATATGAGCTCATGTCAAACTCCAGGCAGTAAAGTGTATTCATGATATTGATATTAGTTTAGGAAATGCACATAAAAGAGCGAGTCCATGAGTCAACAACCACCAAGATCATTTTCAGGTCGAAAACACCGTGTGTGATGTGGGAAAACCTTGACTATAAACTTGTTCTGATGACTGACATACTTCAAATCAATCCTTACTAGTTTGCAAGCTCTCCAGTGTCTTCCTCACATCAGACACAATTTTATACGTACTACCCCACCCTTGACGCAAAACCAGATTTTGGGAGCCACGTGACTAGCCACAACCAGGGTTCTTTCTCAAGGTAAGAGAGAGAACACTAGAAACGAGGTTGCTTGTTCTAACAATTTATGTTCGGTAAACAGCTATAAGCAAGAGCTTTATAAAATCCAAAACTTCATCAACTAAACAAATCTTTCGTTATACTGAGGACTTCGTTATATAGAGGTTAGTTATGTCGAGGTTCCTCTGTATATACATTCCAAGTTCTTTCTGCTCAGGGGCACCCAACGAGAATATAGTTCAAAACCACTTAAACATAGCATTGTTAAACGTATTTTAGTATTTAAACGGTAGATGTAGGCATATTTTTATCCCCTAAAAATTTTTCATCTGTTCGGATTTCCTAGCTGAAAGTCTAGTGATCCGAAAATTATAGGGGTCAAAACTTACCTTTTCGAAAATTTCAGCCAGAAAAAAGGCTTCCGAAAATTCTGGGTGACCTTTTTAGGGTAAAAATCCGTTAAAAATAGGCAAATATACCATTTTGTGGATGTTCGAAAACCCTAGGAGAGGCAGGCAAGCAAGAAATTTTACAACAAATACTTCGAAAATTCTAGATCTCAAATCGTCTTCCGAACAGGTATTCTTCCGAAAATTGTCGTTGGGTGCCCCTGACTGCTGCCTTTATTGGATTTACTTATTAAAGATTTTCTTTCTACTTGATTAATCGCCAAAAAAGCACGGTTCCCTAGTTTCAATTGCCGTTGCTGTGAGCTCACATCCACGAACAGACAACACTTTTGAAACAGGGCTTTCAGAACATAAAAGTCAGCCATAATTTAATCTATTAGATTGAAGTGCATTTGCATTTTAAAGGTTCCTTGGTGCATATTGTTTATCCTTTAATTCACGCGTACCACGCATAAACATCAGCACATGTCTGACCGCTGTTGTTGTCTTCTGAACAGTAATATAAGTCTTGTCCGTACCAAATTTGAAACTCATCTCCAACAAACACAGATATTGGAGAGGGAAGATTGTTAAATCGAAGTTCGTTCTCATTAACACCTACACCTTCGATCTTATATGACTGGCCACAAGTTTTCCTGTAAACTGCCAACAAAAGAGCGGATCTGTTCTTGAACGTTAAGACGGTTTGGAGTCTCGCGTCTCCATACGCGGGAAACTCACATCCCCAATAAGAAGGAGGGTAATCGGGGTTACATGTAATTGACCCACTCAGATGAACGAGTTTAAAGGTACGAATAACCCCACTCTCTCTGATGTTGAAAGCCCCATATGAGTCACCTCGAGCTCCAAAGCAGACTGGGCCAGTATTGATCTTCTTCCAGTTCTCTGAAAAAAAAAAAAAAAAAAAAACATTTGGATACGAATTTTTAAACTAAGTTGATACTTTAAGTCGAGCACGTGTTATTCTGCTTTCGATGAGTGTCAGTGAATTGAAGTAATTAAGAGGACAAGGCTCAGGGAAAAGAAATAAAGGTGGTCATAGAATCTGGAGTTTTTCATGATAGGGGTCGGGTTTAGAATGTATTACGACCTCGGGTATAGAGGATATTGCATATTATACTATTATATTATACTATACTCTGAAATGATTACAGGCTCATTGACATTATATCATCAACAGACGTGCTGCAACTCAGTTTGACTGTGAAGATGACTACCGCACAGGTTGTCGAGACGTTAGTCACTGACACGCCTCGGTACAGTTTATGTTCAGTAAGGAAAAATGTGAAAGTTTACCAGCACCTTTATGCAATAGACGATTTATTCAGTAAGCGCGTATTCCCGCCTGTTGAATAAATTGTCCCCTTTATAAGATTCGTGCAAAAGTAATTTTCCATAGATGCTGTTATCTAAGGTATCGGCTTTTAATGTCTCCGTACAGTTGAGGTTTACACGATCTCAGAGTACAATGTGTGGCTGTACTCAGCATTTATTCTTTAACGCTAGTTTTGTCACGTCTTTGGTGGAACCATGATCTAAAATTCGTTACGATGCTGTGTCCTTTGAATGTCGGTTTATCAATCGCCTCAATGTAAATGGAGAAAAAAGGATGAGGTGATAAGTGATCTACTACTCTGGGAACCAAAGCACGGCGCAAGAAAGAGAGGAAGACCAGCAACAACAAAATGATATACTGGTTTGAGCATTGCTGAACTGAAGAGCATCATGGGAAACCGGAAGGAATGGATGAAGCTAGTTAATGGGGTTCGAGTTCGCTCGATATAAGCAAGCAAACAAGCAATGAAAATGTGACTTCTGCGTTCTTCTGAAGGCTGAAGCGGCTCATGCAAAGCGGATTTTTTTTCAGTCTGTCGTTTAGACCCGACTCGGCCGGAGAATCCTTAGCGCAGCGCCTCTGTCTTGTCAAGTGGTACTCTGCCAACTGATTTCTTAGGGCCTCGTTACATTTTTTCCGGAATTTTTCCAATTCGAAAATTTCAAAACTTCCCGCTGGCACTTCACACAGATTATATGCGATACTCCCGTTGTATTATTTACATAGGACGACAAAACTGAGAGTGTAACTAAATGTCTTGGGTCGTGGGTGTGGATCGTGGGTGTCGTGGGTAAAAGAGTGTAGAAAAAAATCATTGCCAGGCTTTTCACGGCTTCTTCTTCGTCCTCTTCCTGATATTTCCTTAGCAACGTGGGACTCGAGTCCTCTTTCACCGCGAAATAATCGAAACAGACGTAAAATATGTCGAAACGTGCAATTTACAGAAAGTATGGGACAGCTGTGACTCGCTGAATGGCGATAGCTGCTTCAACCTCCTGTCCAGGGCTGGTTGTAGCTGCTTATATACTATAATTAATCTTACTTCGATCTACGTATACAGTCCCAATGATCAGCGGAGTTTTTTTGAAGGGACAGGTTCACGGTTCAGCGCATGCTTGTTAATCAAAATGATGTTTTTCCGCCCGAACATCCTGTATCGTCTATGAAAGCAATATGATCATGTCATAATAATGTCAAAGAACCAATCTGCACACTCCCCTGGCAGTTACTTGATCAACTTAGATGCAATTAGCTGAACCGTGAACCTGTCCCTTTAACACGATGAAATGCAATCACTGTGGGAAAGGGGAGGTAAGTGAGGAAAAAAAAAAGACAATTTTGAGCTATTTCATATTTTTGGATACAACTCTTTCTTAACGACGTTTTGGGTCTCTTAGCTTACGAAGGAACCACTTTCATGCTCAACCTTTCAAGTTGAGGCTAGAATTTATGTAAACTTAATTTATCTCCGTACGGAAATATAATCTTCTCGATTCTTTTTTGTTTTGTTTTGTGTATAAAATCGTTGCTGTAACGATTCTGAATATTATTCCTTAAACTGAAAAGGACCTTTCAGTCACGAATGTTGACATCTTTGAGAAAAAGCAGTTCAGTCTCCAGTTTTTCTTTAACCTGCTTCAGGTTTAGATAGTGTACAGAGTTTCTTTCTCGCCTAAATGCCTTTTTAGTGTCCGTTTGTAATAAAGGATTCGCTTATTTGCTTTGCAGGCCGCGGGGAAGGGGACTAGGACTCATGGTATGTGAACGGAGATTTTCGTTCATGAATTTTACAACATTTTGCTATTTATTTTTTTTTTACTCACGACATTTACCCACACCCACGACTCACAACCTCTACCCACCACGTACCCACGAGCCACGACATTTAGCTATACTCGTCAAATACGGGGTTATATTGAGAATTATTTCATGAATCACACATTTTCCACGAGTATTGGAGCAGATGGCATTGCTGTCACATACAGGAGAAGAAGCACTGCATTCGTCAACATCTGAAAAAGGAACACATATCACTAAACTGCAATATGGGAAGACCAAAGGGTGTTTTAACAGGACAATTGGTGAAATTTGTTTTTGGTTGGTATAAAGAAAAACGTCCCTAACCCTCTGTGTTAACTTGACATTTTCAAACCT